GTCCAGAAGGCCATTATTAACACCCTCAAACAAGAGGGTAAGACACAGACATTTCTGAACCAATAGGCTGTTCCCAGAGTGCTGTATCAAGGCACCTCAGTGGGAAGTCTGTGGGAAGGAAAAAGTGTGGCAGAAAACGCTGCACGAGAAGAGGTGACCGGACCCTGAGGAAGACTGTGGAGAAGGGCTGATTCCAGATGTTGGGGGACCTGCAGAAGCAGTGGACTGAGTCTGGAGTACAAACTTCCAGAGCCACCGTGCACAGGTGTGTGCAGGAAATGGGCCACAGGTGCCTCATTCCCCAGGTCAAGACACTTTTGAACCAGAAACAGCAGCAGAAGCTCCTGACCTGGGCTACAGAGAAGCAGCACTGGACTGTTGTTCAGTGGTCCAAAGTAGTTTTTTCAGATGAAAGACAATTTCACTTGTGAGAAAATTACTTAGATGAAAGTGATAAAACTGTTTATAAAAAATTGGGAAAGTAAAAGTACTTTTACACACTCTAAGAAATAAACTGTAGAATTTACTTAAGCCCTGAACAGTCTTAGTTTTTCCTGTGGGTAAAAATGATGCTGTTTCTGCCTTTAAATGTTTCTGGACGCTGACAGGGGCCTTTATTTTGAGGGTGTCAGACAATTTCCTCCAGTTCTTACCTTTAGTTCGGCTCCCTTAAAAAATGTCAAAAGGCTTTTAAGGAATCTCAGGGACTCCTGTTAAGCGGTTAACCCAGGGGTCTGCAACCTTTACGATCAAAGAGTCATTTGTGCTCTTTGTCTCACTAATAAAATGTGTCCGGAGCCACAAAACAAGCAACAACTTTGATTATCAACTGGTGGTCTGTGGGCCTTTTCAAGTGCTTTTCAGAAACCTTTACGGTCAGTAGAGATGACATTATAAAACTAAAAAAAGTTACTGTTTATTATTACACACATCAGAACAAATAAAAAAGACCATATTCATGTAAACAAAAAATACCCTAGTTTATACCAAATTTCATAAAAGCTAGTACAACTGAATTATTCAGGCATGTTCTTTTTTCTAATTCTAATTAAAGGGATCCGCAATTAGTTTTAACATTAGACTTTATTTAACAAACATAAATTTTAACTGTAAAATAAAGACTGTAAAAATACTGAAGGCTGTTTAGTTTTTATCATTTTTAAACTAAAAGTTTAAAAATATATTTTAC